GTAAATATTAAGGTGATTCCGTACAAACTTAAGGAATTACGGGATCGAACCGAGAAAAAGAGGCTTGAAGTTTAGCTCCTGCATAAGACTCAATGTAAAAGTTAAACTTCAAGCTCAATTTCTGCAAAATTTGCTCCAACAAAAACCTTGAATTTTTGGCGATAGATAGTAGAGCATTGGTTGAGTTCAAAACCACTCATAACTCAATTTTTTTCCAAAATGTGGGTTGGTTCCTTTCTGCTTAACTCAGTCCAATTGGCATCGCTGCGATGAGAATGGTGGAAAAGTGGGTAGAAAAGCGTTTTCCGACGAGTAAATTGAATCCGCCGGCGGCGTGGAAGAGATTTCGCGCGTGCGCGCGATGTCCATGACCTAAGTGAACCAATTCCACGGAGAAATTGAATTATTTCCCCCATCCGGACACGCTTCCAAATTGAATTGTTTCAAAGAGAGAAAATTTCGATCCCACCAACGCAACGACCGGCGGGAGAGGCAGCTGCAGCGATGCACTTCTTCCCCTCGCCATCCGCGATCCGTGGTGAATCTCATTTTCTGACAAATGAAGATGCTTCACCGGTACCGTTAGGAATCGATTTAGAGCGCTCGAAGCTGTCTTCTCCTTGAGCCAGTTTGTAAAGTCGTTCCGGGAGAAAAAGCAATGGTAAATACGAAACTATTCAATTCGAGTTTATATGCTGTATTCAAATTCAAATGCACAAAAAGTATATAAAAGAAAAACAAATTGGGCACCACCTAAAATATTCTCTAGAACGGGTAGTCCAGTAAAAGCATAATGGAAGTGATAAAATAGTAAACTTTTGAAGGTGAGTATAATATTTAAAAGTAAATTAATTTAATAAGAAATCACTAACATTAGAAAATAGGAATTGAAAAGCGGCGGTTCCATGCGATAAAAACAAAAATTCAATGATAGTGCTTTTCTCCAAAAAGGAGAGCCAATTATGTCTCTAAGAATTGACGAGTAAGTAGTTTATGAAAGTGAATAGTTGATGAATGTTGAAGACATTTTACGAAATGACTCATAATGAAAGAAAAATATTAGTTTTACTGATTAACTCACAGTTTCTCCATCTCTTATAAAGCTTTAACACCGATTTTGCTACCATTTTTTTCTTTTTTTCATTTTTTTCCTTTCTTTCTCTCTTAAAATTTTGTGAGTTTTGATAAAGTTCAGAGAAACTTCACGACAAATCACAAGGCGGTATATTGTTAAGTTTCCCGTTTAGAACATAGAATCTGAGAGGAGATTAGGCAATGTTAAATGCAGCAGGTAGGGCTGTTCTGCCTAAATCCGTCCAAAATCGAACGACCCGTTTTATCGCGTTAGAGGAAATACAAAGATTTGAAGGTGACTCAACTGCTTTATTAATTGATTGAAAGTAGGTCGGTGGGTACCGATTTACGAAACAAAGTACCTCAATTCAAACTATGAGTCGCGAATTCCATTCTGCAAAAGTGCCGAGTTGAATTTCAAACCCTCGCGGAATCCGTGCCAAAAAGGTTTTAAAATACCGCATTGTCTTACCTGAATTTTTTTCATACATTGCACGTCTCCTTCATTCGTATTCCTTGTCGAGATTGCAGACAGGGTCAAAAATAAAACGCAGAGCTAACCAACGAGTTAGTGTAACTATCACGAAGCTGAAAGAGAGGCTAAGAATTTTGAAATGAATATGTACTCCACCTTCTCTTATGTATCGGTCCCGGAGAATGTTTCGATCATGTTGCCGTGCTAAGTAAGAACGTCTTACACGGAGAAAAAAACTTTGTGCGTGGGACCCGAAGTTTAGGTCATATGGATCTCTGAAGTTTTTGGATTGAGCATCTGAACACTTTATGTCCAGCTGCTAAGGTTTGGGTCACACATCTGAAACCAGTTCTTACATCTGAAGTACTTCGATTTTCACATCCGAAAAACTTGGGCCTTCTCAGTCCCATTGTTCGCTGCCGCGATTATCCGAATGTGAGTTCGAATAATCGCGCCAAACTCGGTGCGGTCGGCGTCAAACTCATATCTGCGCCTGCAAGACTGCAGGAATACTTCATGCATTGCGCCAAACAGTACGATCGGCGTCAAACGCATGTTAGCGCCTACAAGACTGCATGAATACTTCTCGCATTGCACCAAACGCAATGGGAAAATGGACCACTAGACAAGGTACGAATTTCAGCATTCTGATACATGTTTCTTGACCAAAATGTTACGTAGAACACGATGCGCACAACGAACATTACCGAAATCAACCTTCTACGAAGATATTTAATGATTCTTAATGCGTGAATTCAAACCACCCGCTCATGAAAAATCAATGCTCTACGTGATTCACATCTCGCGCTAAACGTTATCGCAACAGTCTCTGCGATATAAAAATCTAGTAACCTCGATCTTGACGCTTCAGCTCAACTATAGCAAATTGCTTATAGCTTGAACAAAACATGGTGGGACATGAACATTGCTCGATTGAGAAGCTTGCAGGCTTGCTGAAATCGTTGTAGTGCGCGATTTGACTCACGTAGAGCTTTGAGTTCTTTGTGAGCGGGCAGTTCAAATTCCTCGGAACCAATGTGAAATAAAAACGTTATGTCTTCGTTAGGAGTTAGTTTCAGTAATTTTCGTTGTGCGAATCGTGTTTAACGTGAAATTATGGTTAAGAAACATGTATCAGATTGCTGAAATTCTTACCTTCTCCGGTGGTCCATTGGGATGACCAGTTCGCGGACAGGACAACCGTGGAGGTAGTCAGTCCGCGGACGCGGCAAAAAATTTGCTCAATCCGCGAGCTGGGCAATTTTGCCGACGGGGCGTAACATAGGTCTACGAGCGTTTTGATGAATGTGATGATAAAATGGACTGAGTTAAGCAGAAAGGAACCAACCCACATTTTGGAAAAAATTGAGTTATGAGTGGTTTTGAACTCAACCACTGCTCTACTATCTATCGCCAAAAATTTAAAGTTTTTGTTGGAGCAAATTTTGCAGAAATTGAACTTGAAGTTTAACTTTTACATTGAGTCTTATGCAGGAGCTAAACTTTAAGCCTCTTTTTCTCGGTTCGATCCCGATGTGGCTTGGTTCCTTTCTGTTTAACTCCGTCCAAATGAATTGAGTTTTAGGTTTTGAGTTTTTTTGTTTGTGTGTTGCAGGAATCGTTCGGGTTCGGGTTGGGTGAAGGATGCGGGTAGCGGCGGTGCTGGTGGCCTGGGCGCTGAGCCTGGCGGCGGCGGCGGCGGACAAGTTCGAGTGGCGTCACCACACCAACGAGGAGATCGAGCAGATCCTCACCAACGTCTACCGCCGATGCCCCAACGTCACCAACGTCTACGAGCTCAGCGAGCGCTCCGTCCGCGGCGTCCCGCTCTTCGTCATCGAGTTCTCCTCCAAGCCCGGCCGACACCAAAAATGTAAGCACCCTATAACAATGAGATACAGGGTTATTCAAAAGTCACGCACCACTGGCCATAACTTTAGTTCTAATTATGATATAGATTTGCGGTTCAAGACGTGTTTCTTCATATCTAGGAGGAAACTTTACGAGGTACTTTCCAGTTTTTGATCCCCTCGGGGGGCCGATCACCTCAAAAATTTCAAATGGCCACCCCCCTCATGGCCGGTGGTGCGAGACTTGTGAATAACCCTGTATGATAGACAGGGCCGGACTTGTATTTTTAGCGCCTTAGGCTAAACTTAGGGTGGCGCCCCTAAAAGTAGGCGCTCTCGAGGGGGGGGGGGTTCCAGACGCCCCTTCCCCCAGATCAGAAGGAGGATGTTAGATGTCAGGAAAATGTTCAAATTCACCTTTGAAAAAACACGATTTTAAACAGTTTTGAGGAATGTTTACGTTTTAATAAGTTACGTTTTTTAATGCATTCTCAAAAATTTTGCGCCCCTCAGAATGTTGCACCCTAGGCTATAGCCTACGTAGCCTATTGGTAAATCCGGCTCTGATGATAGACAGCCCGTGATAAGATATACAATAAAAAACAATTTAAAAAGCGGGTAACAAGGCTGAAAAGTTCACTCGCAAGACCAAGACGTTTCGGCTGAAAATTCAGTCATCCTCAGTTGAATAAATAAAAATAAAAATAGTTGATAATCTAAAATAGTACCTGACTGTACATTCCAAATTGAGAATGTTGTTATGACAGAAATTTTGATAACACAGTCAACAAAACTCACTGTGCGTGAGAACTTTTTAGCTTTATTATGCGCTTCTTAAATTGTTTTTTATTGCACCCCAACAATGCTGCCGTGTCAAGGAAAAACGCCGTATGAACCTCCAGGCATCGCCAAATTTTCGTTGGTAAATCAAGAATTTTCAGGAAAATTTGTCAATATTTATCTTTCAATTTTTCGGATAATTTTGTTCGCAATTTTACCAAAAGTTCTTGAAAATTTCTCGGAAAAATATTCATATCTTTCCTCAAAAATAAACATTTTATCGAAGGAAATTTGGCAACTCTAGAATGGTCATACGGCGTTCTTCCTTCTCTCCTCGCAGAATGGGCCAGTTGCGCTGGTAACACAATTGTGTCATGATGCTTGATTCTTGTAGATTTGTTAAAAATAAGACGATCTGTCCAAACAGCAACTTTCTACGTTCAATATTAACCGTTTTATATCGCCCTGTGAAGAGTCGAGTTTTTGACCTCAGCAACTGCGTCAATGGCCCCCTTGGTTTCCTCCACCTTGCTTTCATCAGTCAGTGTGACGTAAATTTGCACTTGTTGATCAACATGAAACTCTGATGAAAGGAAGAAGGAAGAAAGAGGGAAGGAAAGGAGGAAAGAGGAAGGAAAGACGCTTCCATTTGGCAATTTTTCATGACATAATTAACTCAAACTGCTCAGGTATTATTAGATGCTTCAAAAATTCAATAATTTTCTGGAGGATGCCCCCGGACCCCTCTTTACGCCTTCCCCCCCCCCCCCCCCCCCNGAGGTGTCTGAATCCACCTATGATGGAAATTTCTTACGAGAGAATTATAAAAAGCATACCACTGTATTTTTCAAGTTTTATGTACAAACAAAAACTTTAAAAAATAGTAAAAAAAAATTCTTTATGATCACAGAGAATTTCACATTAATTTCGAAAAGATGTTTTCGAAACATTTATTTCAGTGATGTTGACCGTTTCTAACGACAAAACAAGTCGCTCTGTTCTGAAGGTGTCGTGTTTTTGTGTGTTGCAGTCAAGCCGGAGTTTAAATACATCGGCAATATGCACGGTAATGAAGTTCTAGGCCGGGAGCTGCTGTTGAAACTGGCCGACTACATGTGCGACGCATACCTGGCCGGCGATGAAGAAATCGTAGATCTCATCCAGTCAACTAGGATCCACATTATGCCCTCCATGAATCCTGATGGCTGGCAATTAGCGTATGACACGGTAATATTCAGTTTCCTCCGAAAAGTTCGATTTAGGAACAAGCGAAAGAATCTCGTAGATTGGAGTTTTCTGGGCCACTGACTCAGGGCCAGTCTAGGGCTCCGGGGTCATTTATGAAATGCGTAACGCTGCAAATCGGATTTTTGACCCCCGTAACGCGCCCGTAACACGGATCTGCACCCTTCTAAAAACCACGCAACGCTTTGCAATAAATTAGCGATTAATTTATTGGGTTTTCAACACTGTAAATTATGATGACTGATTTACACTGAGTTGCAAGTGAATGAGAAAAGAGAAAAAAAGAATGATGTTCAAAATATCCGTTTCGGCGCCAGTTGGTTTTAACGGTAAAACGAACGAACTGCAATGACGGGATAAAAATGGGAAGAGGAAAAGTTTGAGATAAAGTTTATTCACCGAAGTAAATCAGGTAGGCGTTGCACAAATGGACGCATTTCTGCCAAACGGAACGATGTGCATTGAAACATGAGCCCTGAGACCCACCAGAATACATGCGTAACAGGGTTCACGCCATAATACACATATAGTTCCGTTTGGCAAAAATACGTCCAAATTATCCAAAAAGAAAGGCGAAAGAAGAGATCGTTGTTCGATGCTGAGGAGGTAGTCGAAACTTTCACAATATGCACTTTACACATAAAGACATTGATGAGAGCAGTTGGATGTGACACTGTGGTCAAAGGATGTTAAAGGACCTCTGGTCAAAAAGATGTTGGAAAAGTCCTAGATTTAGGCGCAGCGCACGCTTATATAGACTTGCTGACGTCACGGATGGCGAGACAACAAGCTTACGCGTGTTGGGCTGGCTATAATTTATGTAACTACCAGCTGCAAGTCTAGTAATTAAAATTAATGTAGATGGATTGATTAATTTGAAGAAAAGAAGATTTGAAACCGAAAAATAGACTGTAGGAAATGAAAATGAATTTTAGGGAAACAAATTGAAAAGTGTTGACACGCTTCATTCAATACCTCTTTTCCATGTTAGCTTTTTATTCTAGATTAATGAAATCTCCCCCCCCCCCCCGGGTCAATTTTTTCATCTTCGATTTTTAGAAAAATCAGCGGTACGCGCAAATTCTGGCGTTACAAAACGCAGCACTGAGTACCGCGCCCGCACTCCCTTTCCTGCCTAGAGCATAACGAATTCTGTGAGCGGTCGTCCGGTGAGGGCTGTTTTAACCAAATCTATAGGAGGGGGAGTAAAGAAAAGTGTACTAAAATTTCCAAAAATAGGTAATAATTAAAATACAGGAGGAGGGTTTCTTCCCTTTGCCCTCTTCAAAATGATGCTCTTGCAAGGACTTTGATTTTTGGAGACTGGTTTTTATCGTATCGTAGGAGTATCTGGTAAAGCGTCTACTGATACTGAGGAGCATCATGTACAGCAAAGATACCTGTTTTTGAGCGTTCATAGATACCTGTTTTTGAGCGTTCAGTTCATCAGTGTGACTAATTTTTATCCTCCTGAATATAAAACCATACCAACCCAACTAGGATTTCATAACAAGAGTTTATTTACTCTGTTTAAATCCTAATGATAACCTTCTACGCTTGGTGTTAATCAATATCATTTTTTACCGAATTTATGACGATTTAATTATTATTTCAGTAATGATTATAACAGGATAACCTGACCTGTTTTGGCAAGAGCTTTAGATCATAAGAGGGAAGGGTGATGGGACTGGTGGGTCCGTGACAATTCCAATTTAAAGCAATATCTTAGTAGCAATCAAAGGCACGGTGTCTACTCCTGCAATTTTACAGTCATGAATGAAACTCGATCGCTCGGTTTGAACAGATGCCACGAATGTCGAATGTTGATACTACTGAGACAATATTTGTACGACAATATTTTTGATGAAGCAGCGTTTTCAAATCTGCGTCACACCATCGGTCCTCACATTCTCAACTGCATGTCCTCTCTGTGCTTAATAAGTCAAGATTTTAGCAGGGAGTGACGTCGAAAGATACATATTGAAATCGGATTTTTTTTAACATATACTTCAGTTTCTTTTTATTTTATGCTTTCGTGAATTTTCAGGTGTAGTGTAAGTATCATTTAAGAGTTCTTATACGTAATTTCAAATTTCTTGAAAGACTTGCTCGAGTTTAAATTTTGCTCTAACGAAATTCGTAAAGCATTACTTTAGGATTACAATTTCATTTCGAAACTTTGTGACGGAGTTTTGTTTTATTGCAGGGCTGCCAGCATTACTTGCGGGGGCGCTCCAATAACAATAGCATTGATCTCAATAGGAATTTCCCGAATTTGGACAGGATCGTTTTCGGAAATGAGCAGGCTCATATCGACCACAACAACCATCTCCTGGACATGGTCGATCGGCTCACCGAACCAGTAAGTTGAATTTGCAAGACCTAGGGGCGACATCCCACGAAGCGATTATGACATTTCGTCTTACCATTTTGAGGGTTGGTTTAAAAGATCCCTCGTAAGTAAAATCGACCGGAAACCAGACCAGGAGGTATTGAAACTTTCAAAATTTTGAAAGTTTGAGAGCTCAGTTCTTGTGCCGCAATTTTAATACCTCTAGTCTCGACATTAACGCTCCTCTGACGTAAGATCGTACCTCAATTTCCACGTGAGCCCTGTCGTCCATAGAACTCAATGTTTTTCAAGGCTTACCCGGAAATAGAGATATGCCCTTAAGTCCGAGGTGCGATGATTTGTTCAAATTTTATTATCAGAAACATTGAAGATACACGAAGAACCCAATCGAGCCAAAGAATCAGTTAGAACGTCCTGTTTTTTCTTCATCTGTTTTCTATTTGAGACAATCAGGATTCTCGTTATCGTGATGAAATTATTGTTATGACAACAACTAGAAACCAGACGGGACAACCAGAATTTCGGTGTTTCATATAGAGAAGCCTGATGAGGAGAATATTAACAAGAGGTTACTTCGCATGCTCTTGAAAGTCACTCTCCTCACGAGTAAGTCGAGAGTCGTCGTTAAAGCGCAGCGTGATTTACGTGATTATTTTCAGTAACTACGTCTTCCTGTGGAGTGTGGAGTGTAAAATTAGCGACCGCTGCGCGCTTCTTATAGTCCATAAATGTCCGTATCAATCGGGATATTTTACTTTTAGGTAATCTTTAGTGCAAAAGTAGGAGCACATTGTACTTGGGAGATCGTCACAAACGCCCTCTAATAATAAATGTTTAAAAGTGCAGGAAGAAAAACAAGCAGTGAACTCCAACACAATGTGTTGATAAGGCGCGTCATTAACTCGCACATATCAACCCCTTTAGTTCCCATTTACAGAGATTTCAAAATAGGCAAACAGCATAAAAAGAGAATTCACGATCCAACACTGCGAGGTCAAAGACGCACCTTGACGAGACCGTGTATTGTGAAAGTAGAAAGCTATTCGATCGAATTTAAGTTTTTTGATCTGCCTCAAGCAAAATCTTATCAGATTCTTGAAGAAAAGTGCTACGGAATAATTTAAGCGAAGAAAGGAAAAATTCTGTCGAACTCCTAGAAGATAAAGTCGATTTAAAGGTATTTTGGGGCTAAAATACCCAAATCACCGGTAGTAAAAATCCCGTTATATTATTGAAAAGAAATTGACTCGATATAAATGCAATTGCATTAAATACGTCTTGATTTTGTTATTTTAAACGTCTTTCCATGCAAAGAAGTTCAACCATGTCGTTGCTTTATTCATTCATGAATTGAAAGTAAGCAATCTACATCCCGAAAATCTACTGATTTGCCGTAAAAAATTGCAGAAACTTGATATACCAGGTCGATGCACCCACTCGTTGAATTTACCAACCAATTTTGTGAGTGCAAATGTGTAAGAATCAATATGCTATAGTCATTTTGGGTGCATTTATTTTTCATGAAACAATAATAATTTCAATCCCGAAAAACCATCAATTTTCCGTATAAAATCGAAAAAATCAAAATATGTCAACTCCCCGACGTGAAAATTAGATTCTACGTATGTAAAATGTAAATACTTATGTATCGATATGCTGAACAGAACTATGTGTGGACAGTCAGAAGCCCGCGGCAACATTAATTCAACAGAAAAACTGTAAAAATTAGATAGGATTTTAGCCGCTTTGCCCGCCTCTCCTCGCTACTTACAACAAACCGTTCTTATGCTCATCTCAAAATTTTTCTCAGAGCTTTGGGTTATTATCAGCTTCCATTTAAACTCCGTTTCGATGGCCGAATCGGCTGCCAAAAAAGCAAGCCACTGTTGAGGGGTTCTATGAGAAATTCGTGATATTATCGGCTCTCAGGAAATCACCCCATGGCTAAAATTGGTGGTATAAATGTTTAAGTGCTTAAAATAATCGTATTCAAGAAACTAAGGAATTAAACTATGGAGTCAATTTCTTTTTAATAATATAACGAATTTACTACCGGTGATTTAGCTATTATAGCCCCAGAATACTTTTAAAGCGCCTTTGCGTTCCAGAATCTCGACGGAATTTTTTTTTTTTTTTTTTTGCTTAAACGATTCAAGAAACATTGTACTTAAAAATATAAAGATTTTTCGATTTGGACGTATGAAAAATGTTTAACTCGTTCAGGCACACCGTGTATTGTATGGAGTACTGCTGTTATTCGACCGTTGTCTTCAGGTCAAAATTCTTACAAAGAAGCCCCTTGCAAGAGGCAAATTTTTTGTAATTTCTCCCAGTTTTTTCAGCGTTAGGTATATAAATGAATTGTTTGTCAAATTGTGAGGTCAATTATATTTAATTGTAATTTATACTTTCTTTTTTTCCCCTTCATTTTATTTTTCGTATCGAGGAGTCGAGGTTTTGTTGATTTCTTCGGATTTCGATTACTGTAACTTCTCTTCTATTCGGCCGATTTTTATGAATGAGGTCTCTTTTTATTTGTGTTTTAACGGAGAGTAAGGAAAAAATTGCTAAATACATGCGAAACAATTTTTTTTGAAAATTGGATGAATCCTAGCGTGACGGTGAAATGGTTAATGAAGCGTGAGTAATTGGGGTACGGGTATCGGCCGCGTTGGGACCCAAGGCCCATTGTTCTTCGTGACGCCGACGCAGTGATCAGGAGCGTGGGGACGAGAGGGCTTAGTGGACTCCTGTATGAGCCACGTTTAGCAAATGGTCTAATGAGTCTCGAGGCTCATCACAGATTGCACTTACCACTATCCTGGTGGCCCCGGCTATCAGAGCAAGGAGTACCAACTTTTGAAAAGGATAACAGTGTTGTGGAGATATGTCAAAGCAACGTTGTGAACAAAACGGAGTGAGTGAAATTCTCATTCAAGGAGTGCCGAACTGGTCAGCCATCCTCGAATCAGTTCGCTTGCTTCCGCTTATATATGCATATTTTAAATCAGCGCGCCCCATTCTAAGGTTTTTTTAAAAAAAACCAAGAAACGTAGACTCTTGGTATTCATTACACATAAACTAGCGAGCCCCAGAATGAGAAACAAATTTTAATCATTATTATTGACGGATTAGTAAACTTTTTACACGCTTTGGAAAATCTCAGAAGTTCGCGGTAGTCACTTTTCGGTAAGGAACTAGGGGACTCGGTTATTGTATCGAGGGGGGGGGGTCGAAACGATCGCAAAGGCGGTATACTACGTATACGCGCCAAAAAGCGAGGCAGGGGCGATGCAAAATCTCGGTCCAAAAACCGGAGACGGAAACGCAAGGCGCACCAGGTATCGTGTCAGTCAGAAATCAGTCCCCGCACTTCATTTAAACGCATTTTATG